GTAAAAGTGTTTGTGTGTAAAAGCTTCTGCGTGTAAAAGCTTCTGAGTGTAAAAGCCTCTGTGTGTAAAAGCGTCTGTGTGTAAAAGCGTCTGTGTGTAAAAGCGTCTGTGTGTAAAAGCGTCTGTGTGTAAAGTAAAAGCGTCTGTGTGTAAAAGTGTCTGTGTGTAAAAGCATCTGTGTAAAAACGTATGTGTGTAAAAACTTCTGTCTGTAAAAGCGTCTGTGTGTGTAAAAGCTTTGTGTGTAAAAGTGTCTGTGTAAAAGCGTCTTTGTGTAAAAGCTTCTGTGTGTAAAAGCTTCTGTGTGTAAAAGCTTTTGTGTGTACAAGCGTCTGTGCGTAAAAGGGTCTGTGTGTGAAAGTGTCTGTCTGTAAAAGCTTCTGTGTGTGAAAGCTTTTGTGTGTACAAGCGTCTGTGCGTAAAAGGGTCTGTGCGTGTTTGCGGTGCAAACTATTGTGTTGCACTTCTGCTATTTTGTCTTAATACTCCTCTTCTCGACTGCCTATAACACATCTTTAATATATTGTTTCTAATATGGTGTCTCCATACTAACAAGAGAAGACCTGCTCCTCTACGCTCTCGGGCCATCCGTCGTCTAGTTTAAACAATCTTGTACATTTTTCAGCTGTTGCCATGCCAGTGCACCGTAGACTGTGGAATATGAAAGAAGGTGGCGTGCTAAGTGTGGAGTGTGGAGTGTAGAGTCTGGAGTGTAAAGTATGGAGTGTGGAGTGTAAAGTGTGGAGTGTAGAGCGTGAAGTGTGGAGAGTAAAGTGTAGAGTGTGTAAAGTGTAGAGTGTGGAGTGTAGAGTGTGGAGTTTAGAGTGTGGAGCGTGTAAAGTGTAGAGTGTGGACCGGGTAAAGTGTAGAGTGTGGAGTGTAAAGTGTCCAGTGTGGAGTGTAGAGAGTGAAGTGTAAAGTGTGGAGTGTAGAGTGTGAAGTGTGGAGAGTAAAGTGTAGAGTATGTAAAGTGTAGAGTGTGGAGTGTAGAGTGTACAGTGTGGAGTGTAGAGTGTGAAGTGTGGAGTGTAAAGTGTGGAGTGTGGAGTGTAAAGTGTGGGGTGTAGAGTGTAAAGTGTAAAGTGTAGAGTGTAAAGTGTAGAGTGTAAAGTGTAGTTTGGAGTGTGGAGTGTAAAGTGTAGGGTGTGGAGTGTGGAGTGGAAAGTGTAGAGTGTGGAGTGTAGAGTGTGGAGTGTAGAGTGTAAAGTGTAAAGTGTAGAGTGTAAAGTGTGGAGTGAAAAGTGTAAAGTGTGGAGTGTAGAGTGTGGAGTGTAGAGTGTGGAGTGTAGAGTGTGCAGTGTAAAGTGTAGAGTGTAAAGTGTAGAGTGTAAAATGTAGAGTGGAAAGTGTGGAATTTAAAGTGTGGAGTGTAAAGTGTGGAGTGTAAAGTGTGGAGTGTGGAGTGTAAAGTGTGGGGTGTAGAGTGTAAAGTGTAAAGTGTAGAGTGTAAAGTGTGGAGTGAAAAGTGTAAAGTGTAGAGTGCGGAGTGTGGAGTGTAAAGTGTAAAGTGTAAAGTGTAGAGTGTAAAGTTTGGAGTGTGAAGTGTAGTGTGGAGTGTGAAATGTAAAGTGTAGGGTGTGGAGTGGGGGGGAAGTGTAGAGTGTGGAGTGTAGAGTGTAAAGTGTGGAGTCTAAAGTGCAGAGTGTGGAGTGTAGAGTGTAAAGTGTAAAGTGTAGAGTGTTGAGTGTGGAGTGTAGAGTGTGGAGTGTGGAGTGTAGAGTGTGGAGTGTAAAGTGTAGAGTGTGGAGTGTAAAGTGTGGAGTGCAAAGTGTAGTGTGGGGAGTGTGGAGTGTAAAGTGCAGAGTGTAAAGTGTAGAGTGTGGAGTGTAGAGTGTGGAGTGTGGAGTGCACAGTGTAGAGTGTAAAGTGTGGAGTGTGAAGTGTGGAGTGTAAAGTGTAGGGTGTAAAGTGTAGAGTGTCAGTGTAGAGTGTAAAGTGTAAAGTGTGGAATGTAAAGTGTGGAGTGTAAAGTGTAGAGTGTGGAGTGTAGAGTGTAAAGTGTGGAATGTAAAGAGTGGAGTGTGAAGTGTAAAGGGAGGAGTGTGGAGTGTGGAGTTTAGAGTGTGGGATGTGGAGTGTGGAGTGCTGCGCCTGCCACGCAAAATGACGACAGACAGAGATCTCCAAAATGCTGCGAATGCCACGAAAACTGCACTTCATCTTGTGAAAACGACGCAGAAGTATTGCGCCTGTCATATAAAACGACCTTCGACACGTTATCAAACAGGTTGTCAAAGAGTGCCGCGCCTGCCACGCAAAACGACATGACAACCTGCTTGGAAACCTTCGAAAAGGAGAGGTTTTGCAGCTTACCCCATATAGACACGGCGAGGCCACAGGAAAACCAGAGACTCGAGACGAGACACAACGAGCATTTAGTGCGAGACTTCCTCCAATTTTGACACTTTGTAGCTTCAAAACCGATGTTTTTCTACGAGTTTCCTTAGAACCTGAAAATTTGCAACCTCAAAATCGATGTTTCGTGCGAGGCTTCCGTCAATTTTCATCACATCTCACAAAACGCCTTGCATGCCACGGAATTTGCACCTTGTCGCCTTTTGACGCAGCCCTGACAATGCGATTCGCAAAAAACACGCAACACGCCACGTCTAAAGTGCTGCGCCTGCCACGCAAAATGACGATGGGCACGTCCAAAGTGCTGCGCCTACAACGAAAACTGCAACGCATCTTCTGAAAACGTCGCAAAAGTATTGCGCCTGACACACACACACACAACGACTTTCGACACATTACGAAACACGTTAATGTCACGAAGCGCCACGCCTGCCACGCGAAACGCAGCTACGCGACGCTGGAAACATCCAAAAGTGACCCCTTTTGCAGAACTTGCCATAGGCACGGCCATGCGGCCCCCACGCGAACGGTTGCGGACGGTTGCGAATGGTTGCGGACGGTTGCGGACGGTTGCGGACGTAAACGCAACGTCGAGCGCCAGACCCCCAGAGTGAAACGGGAACCCTTGCTACGCATTCGGGAAAAATGTAAGCCAATTCCAGTGTTTATCATCATTTTACCAATCGATAAAATATCAATGTCAATGCCGCCAATAGATTTGGGACGTATCACCCATTTTCAAAAAAATCCAGGGGCATCCAAGATCCGACCGAAGACAAACCGGACCATCTTCACAGGAAGTTCCCCTTCCGGTACACCGGAGATCCACATGTTTTTTGATATAGACACACAACTAATGATTTTCAGGCTATATGCGTACTAATTGTATCCCATAAAATTTTGATGTACTTCATATAAACATAAATCACATGTATATCTGTAATAACAATTAATTACGCGTGCATAATTTTTTGAGTACTTGTATCTATTTATACATGTTGTTGGATACTCACCATGGTTGCTTCATGTCGTTCACCCGTGTCCCGTGTTGAATCCCCTTGCTGCAGCAGCCTAGTCATCTGCAATCTTCACCACCTGGTCCAGGAGTGGACAAAGGAGCACAGTCAAGGTGCCAAAATCCACGGTTTAGCAAACTTATGTTTTTTAGTATGTGTAAAAACCATGTGTAATCATATGATCATATGTATATGTATGTGTATTTATATAAATATATATACATGTAAATATGCACCGAAAAAATATTTGGTGCACCGCGTCCATAATAAAATCCACGCGGTATTCCTACCTTGTTCTCCATTCCCGTTCTGTCTTTTTGGGCCTCACCCTTCTCGTGTGTGTTTGTAATTCTCGCTTTGCAACCTTATGTAAATATGAGGCTTTCCTCAAACCGGGGTACGCCCCAAGACTACGCTTCACTTCACTGAAGAAAAGCCGTCACTGGTATATAGCATAAATATTACATATACTTACATATACCAAGAGATATTTTTTGTTCTATCTATCTATCTATCTATCTGATCTGATCTAATCTATCCTATCTATCTATCCGTCTATCTATCTATCTATCTGTCTGTCTGTCTGTCTGTCTGTCTGTCTCTCTATCTATCCCATCCATCCATCCATCCATCCATCCATCCATCCATCCATGTATACATCTTGAATACCCCACAAAGGCTGTCTAAAATGAACGATCCAATACTAAACCACGGTTTCTAGGGGGGCACCTCAGGGATGGTTATGGGGTAAAACGCATAAAGTTAGTCTTCCGGCAGACATGAACTCATTGGCAATTTGGCACAAACCCCTGCACTGATCATCCACATCTAGTCATACCCAAATCTCACCCTGCGGTTTTCTCTGCAGCTGGGAAATTCACAATTGCGCTCGTTTCCTCATAATTTACTGCAATACAGATCCATTTCAAAAGGATTTTCTAAATATTTCCAGGAATAGTTTATCTTGGAAAGAGACCCCAAGCAGTGTTGCAAGGAACATGGAGAAGAAATACCAAATTACTTGACTTCGTGTGATCCCCACCATGACATTTATACATTTTCTTACTGGCAAATCTTCTGGCATTCTATCTGACATATCTTCTGACATTCTATTTGACATTCTATCTGGCATATCTTCTGGCATATGATCTGGCATATCTTCTGGAATATCTTCTGGCATTCTATCTGGCAAATCTTCTGGCATTCTATCTGGCATATCTTTTGGCACTCTATCTGACATATCTTCTGGCATTCTATCTGGCATATCTTCTGGCATATATTCTGACATATCTTCTGGCATTCTATCTGACATATCTTCTGGCATATATTCTGACATATCTTCTGGCATATCTTCTGGCATATCTTCTGGCATATCTTCTGGCATATCTATCTGGCATCTCTTCTGGCATATTTTCTGGCATTCTATCTGGCAAATCTTCTGGCATTCTATCTGGCATTCTATCTGGCATATCTTCTGGCATATTATCTGGCATTCTATCTGGCATATCTTCTGGCATATCTTCTGGCATATCTTCTGACATTCTTTCTGACATTCTTTCTAATTTTCTTCTGCACATTCTTTGTCCCATATCTTCCTACATGAGGTCCGGCAGGGAACACTTGGCGTGGATACTCGCGGTTGAGGTCCGGCAGGGAACACTGGGCGTGGATGGTCGTGGTTGAGGTCCGGCAGGGAACACTGGGCGAGGATGGTCGTGGTTGAGGTCCGGCAGGGAACATTGGGCGTGGATGGTCGTGGTTGAGGTCCGGCAGGGAACATTGGGCGTGGATGGTCGTGGTTGAGGTCCGGCAGGGAACACTGGGCGTGGATGGTCGTGGTTGAGGTCCGGCAGAGAACACTGTGGATCGCGGGTCGCAGTTGAGCAAGGACGACGAGGACGATGAGGACGACGAGGAGGACGAGGAGGAGGAGGAGAGGAGGACGAGGCAGGAGGAGGCGGAGGAGGAGGAGGAGAAGGAGGAGGAGGAGGCAACTGACATAAAATCTAACAACCCTCACCTGGCAGGTGGGGAATTAGATTCTACAAGTTCCCTTTGTCAAGATCTCTGTAGAATATCATGTGCAAGATCCCCTTGACAGGATCTTAGAAGCTGCTGTGCGAGGTTCCTTTGTACGGCCATCTTTACAAGGTGTCTACAGGAGATTCTCTACAGGAGATCTCTGTAAGAGACATCAAAGTAAGATCTCTGTTCAAACCATCTATAAAAAAAACTCTGAGCCCCTGCTTTCTTCACCAGGTCTCTGCACAAGATCTCTGTAAAAGGTCCCTTGGCAAGATCTCTGCACAGCTCTATAAAAACATCTCCCGGCAAGATCTGTGCGAGGGACCTCTTGGGAAGATCTTTATAAAAGGTCTCTTGGCAAGATCTTTTGGAGAGATCTCTGTACAAGCTCTCTACCAGAGCTCTCTTGGCAAGATCTATGTAAGAGACCTCTTGGCAAGAGCTCAACAGATCTATGCAATGTCTCCGTACAAGATCTCTATAAGCGGTCCCTTGGCAAGATACGTTTCAGAGATCCCTGCACAAGCTCTCTATAAGAGCACTCTTGGCAAGATCTCTGTAAGAGACCTCTTGGCAAGAGCTCAGCAGATCTCTATGCAATGTCTCTGTACAAGATCTCTACAAGAGGTCGCCGCGCGAAGATCTCTGCGCAAGCTCTCTATAAAAGACCTCCTTGTCAAAATCTCTGCGCAAGATCTCCTTGATTATCAAAACGAGCACTGCGGCACAACAAGTGCCGAGAAGGTTGCGCGAGGGATCTCAAAATTCGCACCGTGCCACAGCGAGAGTCATCCGGCACGCACAAAGTGACAAGAGGGTTGTGCGAGAGGTCTCCGGGCCACGGTTTCATCCGAGACTTTCTGTCAAAAACGCAAGATGAAGGGGCGTTTGTGTTGTAAAGGTCACCAAATTTGCCGGACACGGATGACACCACCTGGAATAAACACCCGGCCTTCTCCGCCATGTTCATTGGGAAGGATATACCATTTGTAGATCATTTTTAACAACATCGCATTTTTATGGGTGATTTTTTATACCATTTTTAAATGGTAAACTATCATGGATTAAAGAAACATCGATCCGGAAAGCTCTGTTTTTTTGGAGAAAGAGGGGTCGAATCCGCTTTTTCGGGCGAAAAAAAAGCTGTATCTGCATAGACCTCGGGTGTCAATGGCCTGTAATTTCTATTGGTTGACATGTTTTATACATTTTCCCATCAAAGTCAAAGATGCTGTCACTACGGCAAAGTGCAGACTGTTTGGGGCACGCTTTTAGGCCTTGGAAGCCCGTGGATGGCCCTTCTGGCTGAGCTCCACAGTGAAATTCACCTGCAGGGACGGGACCCAACTGGGGATCTAGCCTCCAGTAAGTTCACCTACTTGGAGGGTCATCATGGGTCATCGTGGGCTTATCCCATACATGCATATATCTATATATTATACACATATAATAATAAATATATATATATATAATGTGTATATATATATATATATGTATGTATATATAATTATATATACACGTGTGATTATATGTACAAATAAGTTATCATCCCAGTTACCAAGCAGTTGCTAAGGGGGTGATCCTCCAAGTAGCTAGAAATAAAACCATTTATGTCCATGATGATCCCATATACCTGGCTGATTTGGAAAATTCGCGAAGCTGAAAGTAGCTAAAACTTGCGACCGTTTGGGGATGATTCCTCTTATACGTGAGGTCACTATAATTTGTCCCGATACACGTTCCAAAAGGTTGAGATGTTTAGCCATTTTGAGGTACATAACCTGGAATCCGCAAAAAAAACACGATAACATCCAACCAACTGAGATTATACGAGTACGATTTTAACGTGAATAACACGAATAAGAGTATCAATCCAAAAATGAGGAAGGGGAGTAATCGCTGGACTGCTGCTTTCAAACCGCCGCCAAAGTATGCCCATCATTGGGGATTCGTCCAGACTTTTTCAACCGGACAAGAGAACACATGTCTGAAGCTACCAACCTTAGTTCGACATGAATCCAATGAAAATGTAGTAAGAACACAGATGTGGATACGATTGCAAAGTGGGGTATAGGACTGAAGAACGAATGCGGAGAGCAAAACTAGCCCGCTCTCAGTCAGTTTCTTCCAAAAAAGATGCAAAGGGTTGTGACCTCAAGTACTGAACCCCACTACATGGTGTCATTGCCTGTAAGAGGCCGTGTCGGTGATGACACCAGACAATCACAGGATGATGGTGGACATGTCCGAAACTGCAGTAATTTGCACATGTTTATTTTTCTTCAGTAAATTCATGATTTAAATTCCCCGGAAAGGTCGCCTCAATTGGAAAACCTAGTGTTTACCACAACGAAACTGTAATTTTGAGTCCGGAGAGCTTCGTGGAAAAGTTCCTTTTTTTGGGTTTCAAACACAAAGTTGTCCGAGTTTGTCGAGGACATTGCCTGTCACGCCAGAAAGGTATTTGCACATAATATGACATATGCGTGGAAGTGCAAGACAACGTCCAGCAGTGTAGCATGACGTATGTGTGGAAGTGCAAGACAACGTCCAGCAGCGTAGCATGACGTATGTGTGGAAGTGCAAGAGGACGTCCAGCAGCGTAGCATGACGTATGTGTGGAAATGCGAGAGAACGTCCAGCAGCGTAGCATGACTTATGTGTGTGGAAGTGCAAGAGAACGTCCAGCAGCATGACGTATTAGTATGTGTGGAAATGCAAGATGTGCAAGAGGACGTACCATGTGGTTGAAGCCGAAAAGAACGTTATATTACACCCCCACACCCCCCAAACCCAAAATATCAACACGGGCATTGCCTTTTACTGGCTTTGACACCACAAACATAGGTACATGGGACATATGCTGTGAGAATGTAACTCCACAAACCTTGTCTGGGCGTGCCAAAGTAGAAAAAATATGAATGCAAAAATAAACACTAGAACATGTGAATTGACCAAATTTCCATAAGTTGCTTGATTCTCGCCATTTTGCTGGTGCTAGTCATAGTCAGATTTTTTCAGTGGAATATCCCTATCTTTCAAGTATCATGCGCTGAAGACGCTGCTGCATCACCCGCTGAATGATGACCCATGAGGTGACTGCAAACACTGGTCCTTATGACTCAGGTATACTAGGTAACAATAGAGGTATGATGAAACCTACAACACCGTTTGAGGTTCATCATATCAACAATATCGCAAAAACAGTCATAATCCACCCTTTTTCTGGTTGGATCCTTTCTTTGCTGGGTATATGTCCAAAACTCCTTTCGTACGATATGGCCCGGGTCAAAATGCAGTCATCGGGTCGCAACCCCAGTCTTGCGACTAAAATTGTCTCTTCATCAACTTCGTCAGTTCCAGGATCGATAGACATTTTGAGTGCCCCATCTCAGATTTACTACTGCCAGGAAATCTCAGAAGTAAAGTCAGTTCTTTCACTATTTCACATGTGAAACAATTCCCCTGAACATCCCCAGCCCGCGTCACATTGTCAAGTGGAACTTGGTACCCTGGCACTCAGTAAGTTTCTCTTCATCAATGTTCACAGGATGCTCGTCATCTTGACATGTTCACCAACGACCGTGTTGTTTACTGTGTCGGCCCAAATCATCTTGTATCCGAATCTACTGTATCCACGCTTTATAGTGATGGGTTTGCAACTACCTCATCCTAGTTGACAGGTTTGTAGGTTGGGGGGTCAGAAAGAGCAAAGCTGGCAATGGATCAAAAATCATTCAAATCCATATTCCCATGCAATCATCTTTACTATGGGGATGTTCCTTTGGGTATAAGTTCGTCACTGTTCCAAGTTATCTTCAACCTTTTTCCATCATTCCATGGGAAAAAAAAGAAATTCGCCCCCCGGGGCCTTGAAGTCAACCATCCCTCCCACCGTTTGTCACTACCGCACCTTGGAATTCACCTGGACATCAGGCAACAACGTGGCGTCTACGAAGACGTCCCGCGAATAGAGAGCCTTTGTCTCACTACCTCAGCCGAGGCAGATCATCCAAATAGCTTCGGGGTATACCATTTGCAATTATTGATGGATATTGAACCATGTCTTTACTGTCTATTAAATATATATATATAAATAGTATAGTTCATATTTCGAATATAATTGGATAGTTATACATATTTATACTAGAGTACATATTTCTTCATGTTTCTACATATTTCTTGATATTTCACAATATTTCTACATATTTGTACCATCAACAAAAATGAAAGGGATAAAAGGGGTCATTCAAAAACACGAGGTTATCAAAGTTGAATGATGTTGAATGGGGTCAAATTTGACACAGTATGACCAGTTTATAGCTGGCAGGGAAAACCGGTTCCGTCTATCGGAAAATATCTCATTATGTAAAATGTAAAGTCTGTCAATAGATTCAATAGACAAAATCAGTCTTGAAGAGCGCACTTGTGAAGGGCTAATATGCTACTCAAATTGTTGAAATGTTTCCACAAATCAGAGCACCAACAAACTTCTGATGATGCCAAGGAACTTATGGCCGGTGTCCAAAAAGTGGAAAGAATAGGATCATGATGCCAAACCATCGGATTTTGAAATAGGCAATGTGTGTGGGACAAGGCCATTATGTGGATGGATCACAATTCTCGGGCTCCCGAAATGAATCGTGGCATATAAAAATAAATGCCCCAATGAAGTGACCCATGCCCGTGTAGAGCGATTCTGGCAAAACATATAGAGATGATGGTACCGTCATTCAATTTCTTTGGATTCAAGTTTATGGCTTTTTGATCTCGACTGTATTCTATGTGTCGTTTAACAGTTTCAATTCTGCGGGTGCCACGCGGGGTAAATATTTGAAATTATGTGAAACTTCATATTCTGTAGTCGGAGGTGAGTATGTACATACGCAAAACAGTTGATCTCATGATACCATCATGATACCATATGGACCTTTACAACACATATCAAAGTAAATGCCCATATGTATGAACGTATGTGAGTATGTATACATTGTGTCTGCCACAAACTGCGGAATTTCTGTTGTGGGTGTGTCCAAGTGTCCGGTTCGTTTTCCGTCAATAGCAATTCCTGCACGAACACTTTCAAGATGAACTGAGTCTTGTCAAATCTCGCAAAAAAGGTATGAAGGGAGGTCGTGTTTTTGTTATATCACTCTTTGGTTCCCCAACGGAAATACATATCACATGGGTGGATGGTTAGGGTTCTCTCCCAGCCATGACCCAAATCTACTGGTTACGAACCTCTGCTTGCATGGCTGATGTCGCACTGATATTCTCAGTTGTTAGTGGTTCATCAAACTCCATCAATTTTCTACATACAAGTACCTTTGCTGGGTATTCCCCCTATTCTCTTGCTGTTCGAATCTGTTTGAATACACCATTTCTTTTCCCATAGAAAAAACACTTCAAGGAAAGCTTTCAAAAAACCTATCGATAGATGACTTGCTGGTGGTTGGCAGTTGTTGCAGTTATAACCCAATTAACAACTAGAAATGGAATTAACATTATAATATATATATAACTAAGGTTATGTAATGTTATCGATCATGATTAAACACAAAGAAATTGTTCATTGGGCAAATTTGGTCCAAGGTGCAGGCGATGAAACCGTAGCCGTTTTTATTGCTGATCGATTTCCTGAGATGATACGTTTTCTCAGAAGAACCCAAGGAAAATTGGGTACATCAATGGATAATGGGATTTTAGATGGGGTATAAAATATATATACATATATAATGAGGTTATAATGAAGATATGACTTGTGCGACTTTCACATCCAAAGAGATTGAGATTACGATGAATTTGGGGATGTGATTTTCTGGATTTTATCAGGTATTTGCTTGGGATTCACCAACCAAAATTAGGGATTTGACCCATGAAGCATGGATGTGGCTCTGCCTGAGAAAAAAAACCGAATCAAACATCGTTTTCGTGTTTTCCCATGTTTTCCCAATATCCAATTTACTTTGCAATAAATTTGTGTACACATACACTTTTCCTCAAACAGTGTGTCCACACTGAGGGGTTCTTACGGTAGATGTATAAGGTGTAAGAGACCAGGGTTAGATCAGGGTGCTCCATCTGGCCCCCGGCTTTTGAACTGCAAATTTTCGCACACAAGTTCCCTTGTGAGATGTTCACGGGCACTTCGACTCCGCAGGCTCGCGCAAAACGGTTGTCCCGTTTTGCTCCTTTCCGAAGGTCGTTTTACTAGCATGCCGTGCTCGTTTTTTTTGAGCTCTGTCCATCTTGCGTGGCGTGTGGGACATCCGGGACATTTTGAAGTCTAAAACGTTGCGTTGCGTGACAGGTGCAAGACATCCGACACTTTTTCATCCGTGTGGCTGAAACTGTCGTCGTCAGCATTTTTGATTTTTGGACATGATGATGATTCCGTGTGGCAGGTGAAGCACTTCGGACGCCTCAGGCTCATTCCTCGAGGCAGGCACAGTACTTTGTAGACCTCGATTCAGAAGTGGCTGTCGTTTTTTCCGGATCACTCTCGTTGTGGCGCAGTGCGAATTTTGAGATCGCTCGCGCAACCCTCTCGTGACTTTGTGCATCAGATCGCTATCGACTTCTTTTTTCAGCCAATAGCAACCAAAAAATACCAAGACTACTACAGTGTTATACTTACTAGACATTGGGATCTTAGAATTACCCCGTATGTACGGATGGAGCTTGAAACATCATTGACGCCACAAGCCAGCCCATTGTAAGTGGCCCCCCCGAATTTGTTTCAGATGCTTGAAGTGTTTTAAGTTTACTTACCTTCAATTTCTGTTTCTAAGTGCATATCCTTGAGCCCCCCGTCGTGTTGATACCTAAGTGAAGCAACCCTGGAAAATCGACAAGGTTCAATTTATCACTGTTTGAGGATTGCATTTTGCTAACATCTGCATCTTCTTGGGTCTGTTGCAAAAAATGTGTATCCCTCCAGAACGCCCATTGTTCCGCAGGGTTTCACGCCAAGTTTCACTTGACCTGTGTACACCTTGTCAGACGAGGGTGCCGCACCAGCTGCAGGTGCCGCACTTTCCCCGAGAAACGGACGTGCATCTGAGGCAGGGTCAGACGCTGAAGAAATGGCCGCCTGGCGGTGGCACATCTCATGGTGTATTGTTAGAGCTAAGCGCGTTTTATCCTGGAGTTTTTAATTGAAAACCGATAAACTTTTCAATCTGCTTAAGGTCTTACTCTCTGGTAAGCCAACCTTGCAATGGAAAATGCTTATTGACAGATATTTTCCCATAAAACTTTGAGGGATTTCCCAACCATGTTTGGCTACCTCTTTGGTTCTCACACATTGTGAAAGACCAAAATCTAGCCAGCTGTACAGCAGCTAGTATCATGTCGCAATGCATAAATCCTCCCTTTCATCCAGCAAATCTTGTTTCAGGCCTCTCTTTCCAAACATTAGATACTGGAAGGAGTGGGCCATCGCCTGTCCCTGGCCCAAATCATTTGCCATGAAAGCTGGCCAGAGAGCCTCTGGGACTCTCATATTTATATAGGCATAAAATTCATTCAAGGACGCAGGATAAACCCACAATTTCGCAGGATCTCTGGTATCGTAATGATATACCAGTAGTGCCGCACAAGGCGGTGGCTGAAGTTTCCAAGATTGCTTTGCGCCACAGCCGCGTGCAACTTTTATCTCTCATCGGACCACATAGCTCCGCACCCGCCGCTTTAGCGAGCCTACTTTTCGACCCTCGGGGGCCACAAATCATTGAAAAAACACAGTGTTTCGCAACTGTCCTACCTTTTCGCGCACCTGGATCTTCTTTCTTCTTAGACTTTCTCTTTTTTGATTTTCTTTTTTCTCTTCTCTTCTCTTCTCTTCTCTGACTCTGCCCATTCCATCTGTCCATATTGTCGAACATTTGACTTCTAAACTTCCTGCGACTACTGATATACACACAATAGTCTCATGAATACCGAATATCCGATTTCCCAAAATATACCCAATCTATCCCAGTGTACCCTCCAGAAAACTGAGATAGACATGGAAAATCCACTGCGAATCATTTACAAGGGAAATGATCATAGACTACAGATGTGCATTGTTATTTAGCTGCTATTTGTTCGTCTGCCTGAGAGTATACCCTGTATATACCCATACAATTCAATGTCAAAGGTGAAATACAGAACCAAACTTTCAAAATATATATGCAAGAACATATCACCAATGTGTCCATATTCCCAAAACAGAAGGTCGAACGTCCCACAAAAACATAGGTTTCTCTGAATAAGTATAAGTATGTACCAATACCCCATTCCATCCACTGGTTGATGATCATGTTCCCCAAGAAATAGCAATAAATTAGGGTATTCAAGTTTTCAGACACACCCAACTATCATATGATGTTGGTTAGTTCTATCATTCTGTCTCATTATGTCCCATTCATTCCCATTCTATCCCCATTATTGTCATCATATACATACTAAATATACCACGTTTGTCGTTCTTGACGGTCAAATCCAATCAATCACCATTTTTGATGTTCCAATTCCAGTAAACTTCAGTAAACCACTGTTTTTCTTGGATACATCCCATGCAATCACCGTGTTCAATTGTGTTAAATCTCCCACATTTCTCCAGCTTCGACCCACGCAAAAAACGTCATCGAGATGACAACTTCTGCACCTCGCGGGGGATGATGACGCCACCGGTCAAGCCGCGATAGTAGGCCTGAGCCTCGGGAAGTTGTCTCATTCATATCCGAATCTCTATATGGTATAGTAATGAAGTACCATACACACATATATACACACACATATATATATATATTTACGTCTAGTAATATAATATATCAATAGCATTCAATAGTTCTATACATTACAGTACTACATCTTCAAAGGAAGTTTAGTTCGAAAACTTCCGAGTGACTCGTGACGAATGTCCGGGGGCAGTCCTATAGTCCTGTCATCATGGCAAAAACATGGTGAGCAAGAGCAGCTCACGTGTGGAAGCAGCAGAGAAGAGTAACAATGTTGGAAGTGTGTGAGTTCACCGGTGAAACGCTTTTGTGCGCGAAACACTCTGGTTTTTTTCGGGTAATGTGGCTTCTGGGGTCGCCGACGTAGAGTCTCTGTTTCTGCATTTCCGCGGTTCCGCGCCTCAATGTGGGAAGACTGTCGACAAAAAGGGGACCGGACTGTGCCGAAAGCTCGATTTGCACTCATACTTCAAGATGTTAAAAAAACTGGCAGCCGCAGTGCCGCATAGCACTTTTGGAAGATGAGGTCGGCAAAATGCGCACGAGAGTGCAGCGAGAGCTCGGTTTCATAAAATGAACGGAAAAACTAAAGGGATCGGAGCAGCCCCGGATTTGTGTGGTCGAGTCCTCGCTGTTGACGCTGCGCGAAAGTTGCTCGATGTCATGCGATAATCCTGCTACGCGGGTTTGCAACCGGCTGTAACAAAACGCATGGCACGGCTGCGCGCAGCAAAGCATCAGTGATGCTGTGACGCTCGGGACTGCAACTGGAGGTTGCTAAACGCACTGCAACAGCTGCGTGAAAGGTAGTGTGCTATGCAGGATTGCAGCTGGAGGTTGCTAAATGCATTGCCGAAGGAAGTTTAGAAGTCAAACTTCCGACAATATGGACAGATGAAAAGCAGAGCAGCGAAGAGGCAGAGAGAAGAGAAAGATTAGAAGAAAGAAGAGTACTTGGTGGTCGGTTTTGGTTTACAGCACTTGCAAGTAACTTGTAACCTAGTTGTAAGGTAGTTACAACCCTAGTGTATCTAAGCTAAGTAAACTAAGTTTGTATCTTATTTTACGGTAGTTGTAAGTAGTTACCAAAGATAAACTAGATGGTAAGTTTTTTTAAGTTATTTTGTTTTGAGTTAACAAAAAACAACTTAAATAACTTATAAGTAACTTAGGAAACTTAACTTTTTTGGATTTTTAAAGCTATTATTTTTTGTGTTGGAATAAAAACATAAAAAACAAGGTTTGGGTTGGAAACGAATTAAAACCACATTTTTTTATTTTTTGATATTTTTGTCGGAAGGCGGCTCTATGAGAAGCCTATCGGGAAAAGTTTTGTGATTCTGAGTTTTTTTGTTGATATCTTGTCCTCTTCTCGTTTGGACAACAGGATGGATACGAAGTAAAAAGCGTTCGGGCCCTTGGAAAGATCATGAGGCCACAGCCCCTGTTTTGATCTTGACTGAGGCCTGAGAGAAAATGCGTATATGACAGCAAAGGCATATCATATTTTGCAAAAAACAGAAAATGCAAAACACATTTTTACACATTTTTTACACATTTTTACACATTTTTACACATGTGTAAGTGGATTTTTTTTGG